AGAATATGAACCACTTCTCATTTGATGTTGACTCACAATTGATCTGTTGACCACTGAAACAAAAGCATTTCCATAATTTAGAAAATCTATTTTTAAGGAGCTTTTGTGTCTAAACAAAAATCTAGATTATGTGCCTCTAATATTTGACACTACTAGAGAGGGAAAGGATGTGGGAAGCCCAGTTACCCTGGCAATTCAGAGAGTGGTGAGCACTCCGTCATCATTTAAATATAAAATAGAAGTCCCAAAGTTTTCCTAATTAAGATCAGAAAGAAGTAATCAACAGAGAAATACTTGGCTTTATAGGCTTCATTGTTCAGCAGAAACCCTCAGTTTTGGTTGGATATGCATGTTTTCTTTCTGGGGACACTTGTACTTTCTCTAATAATAGCACTAGCAAAGCTGCTTTTGCTGTGTCACCGGCATACTTTGCTGTTACAAAAAAATCTCATTTGTTTTGTTCTTTCTTGGAATATTTTATAGAGCAGGGTGCTATTTTTGATGGGTGTGTGTTTCTGTGTCTATATCTATTTTTCTGCTTATAAAGTTTTTTGCTTCTAGGTATTTTTCCAGGAAAAATATTAAATTTTGATGTAGTGAAGCAAAACATTGTCAACACTTTTTTCATTGACAGCAATAACCTCTTGTACTTTTTATTTTTATATATTCATCTTTTAAGACAGAGTCTTGCTCTGTCTCCCAGGATGGAGTACAGCGGTGTGATCTCAGCTCACTACAACCTCTGCCTTCCAGGTTCAAGCGATTCTCCTGCCTCAGTCTCCTAAGTAGCTGGGATTACAGGCACACACTACCTCAACTGGCTAATTTTTAAATTTTTTTGTAAAGAGAGGTTTTAACCATGTTGGCCAGGATGGTTTTGAACTCCCAGCCTCAAGTTATCCACCCGTCTCAGCCTCCTAAAGTGCTGGGATTAAAGGTATGAGTCACCATGCCCAGCCTATGACTTCTGATTATCTCAAAAATAACAGAATACTGGAATAGGAATAATCATTTAAAAATGTTAATTTTTGAAATACACTGTCTGCTTAAAGAGTGATAGGTGGACCTAAGAATTTTCCTCAAGTAGACTGTGGAATCATAATTTTATAATGCCCCAGTTGATAGCACAAGAGTCCTAACAAAATAGAAAGGCAATTAAAGGAAGCTACACTTTTTGATTTATGCCCTGGATTGTATTTGTGGTCTATACTAGATATATTCCAGCTCTATATCACAACACAAAATTTCCTCAAAGCTAACAAGCCCAGACATTAATTAAATAGGCTGGTAAACAGGCCAACATAAAGTATAATTCATTAATTAATCACCGTCAGCCAGCCAGCCACTGGATAACTATATTTCTAGCAAACAGAGAGTTTCTCCTGAATAACTGAGGTCTTGCAAGAGTTAACAAATTAGGCCAGGAGTGGTGGCTCATGCCTGTGATCCCAGCACTTTAGACGGCCTAGGCAGGCAATCACATGAGGTCAGCAGTTCAAGACCAGCCTGGCCAACATGGTGAAACCCCATCTCTACTAAAAATACAAAAATTAGCCAAGCGTGGTGATGGGTGCCTGTAAACCCAGCTACTTGGGAGGCTGAGGCAGGAGAATCACTTGAACCCAGGAGGTGGAGGCTGCAGTAAGCCAAGATTGCACCGCTGCACTCCAGCCTGGGTAACAGAGTGAGGACTCCGTCTCANAAAAAAAAAAAAAAAAAAAAAAGAATGGAAAAAAAGAACTAACAAATTATTTGTAAAGAGGAAAGTATATTCAATTGATGGATAAGATGCAGTATATATAATTACCTTGACTTGATAGTTGTAAATAGTAATGAGCTCTGGAAAAATACATATGGACAGAATTGAAGCATTAGGACTATAGCCTAATGCAAGGTAATGCAATCATTAAACCACCAGAAATGACAACTGTTTATTTATTTATTTATTTATTTATTTATTGGAGATGGAGTCTCACTGTATCACCCAGGCTGGAGTGCCGTGTCACAATCTCGGCTCACTGCAACCTCCGCCTCCTGGGTTCAAGCAATTCTCCTGCCTCAGCCTCTCAAGTAGCTAGGATTACAGGCACCCACCACCACATCCAGCCAATTTTAATTTTTTTAGTAGAAACAGAGTTTCACCATGTTGGCCAGGCTGGTCTTGAACTCCTGGCCTCAAGTGATCTGCCTGCCTCAGCCTCCCAAAGTGCTGGGATTACATGGGTGAGCCACCATGCTTGGCCGAAATGACAACACTTTAGCATTACACTTTTTTTTTTAAAGTATATATAGTTATTTCACATATTTTCAATTTTACAATAACATTGTCATAGTTTAGTGGTTTTTAAAATAGTTCGGTAGTTTGAGGGCTGAATTTCTTCCCTCATAATGAAAATCTAGCATTATAATAAAGATAAAGGGAATTCTTCAGGATACTGCAAAAAAGGCAATTCTTCTCTTAAAATTAATGTTTCAGAAAACTCTTGGTTGCTGTTGACATCCAGATCAACAGACACATGTTATCTTTGGAGAAAACATGTTCAAACTCCTAAAAGCACAATCCATGGCTACCGGTGCTTTAGAGATCACTTCTTTGATGGGGGTACGGTGAAGTTACTCCTCTAAAAATATGCAAATGCCAGTAGAGGTGGTGCTACACTTTTTTGTTTGTTTTGACACAGGGTCTCACTTCGTTGCCCAGGCTAGCATGCACTATTGCAATGGTGGCTCACTGCAGTCTTCATCTCCTTGGTTTAAGCCATTCTTCTACCTCATCCTCCCTTCAAGTAGCTTGGACTACAGGTGTGCACCAGTGTGCCTGGTAGATTTTCTTTTTTCAGTAGAGAGCAGGTCTCACTATGTTGCCCACGTTGGTGTTATACTCTTCAAGCTTGACTATTTGGTGGAAGAGGCTTTTTTTGTTGAGACAGTGTCTTGCTCTGTCACTTAGGCTGGAGTGCAGTGGTGTGATCTCAGCCTCCCATGTTCAAGTGATTCTTGAGCCTCAGCCTCCCGAGTAATGGGGATTTCAGGTGTGTACCACCATGCCAGGCTTATGTTTGTGTTTTTAGTAGTGATGGGGTTTCACCACATTTCTCGGCTGGTGATGAAGTAGGTAGGATATTTCCTTGATCCCTTTGCAGGACTTGCAATAGGGTTACCTCATTTACTCAGGCTGCAGCTCTCAACTCCTCACGGGAGGGAGCATATGAGTGAAAGAGGTGGGAACTGGAGTGCATGACTGCTGGAACTATCTGTCCAGTTTGGTGCTGCTGGTAGGGGTGAACTCCATTCACTTGGACCTGCTGCGTTCCACCCCTCATGGGAGGGAGTGTGCCGGTGAGCAGGTGCAGGAGCTGGAGTGAGTGCTTTTGAGGCCCCATGGCAGCAACTGTGGCGGTTGAGGGGTGGTGGCCACAACCCCTGAAGCCTCAGAGGGCATGTTACAGTGCTCTTTTAGCTCTGCCCTCCATGGACTGCTTAAATGTTAACAGCTCAGTGGGCCCTTTTGGATCCGCACTTGTGGCTTCTAAGCTCTTGTCCGGCGTCCAGGAAAAATGAGGTCACACAAATTGAAGGATGGTAAATGCAGGGGATTTTATTGCTAAGTCACTCTCAGTGGAAAGGGAAGCTAAAAGGGAATGGAGGGGTAGGTACTCTTCCCCTGAAGTCTGGCTGTCTTCAGCCAGATTCTTCTCTGAAATTACGCCATCAAGCTGTTACTCTGAAGTCAAGCCACTTCCCTCCGATGTCCAGCTGCTTCTCTCTGCCGGCTGAGTCTGGGTATTTATAGGCACAGGATGAGGGGGCAGGGCCATGGGTGGTTTAGGAAAAGGCAACATTTGAGTGGGGAAACAGGGATGGAAGTTCTCACTTTTGACCGCAGTCTCAGACTTTTCGGCTTGAGGGTGGAGCTTCAAGGACCTGCTGCTGTCTGCCTAGAGTTTTTCTGCTTCCTATCATGATCAGTCTCGAACTCCTGGGTTCAAGCAATCCACCTCCCTCGGCCTTCCAAAGTGCTGGGATTATAGGAGTGAGCCACTGTGCTCAGCCTAAGGAAGAGGCATTTTTTTGTTTGAGATGGGGTTTTGCTCTTGTTGCCCAGGCTAGAGTGCAATGGCGCAATCTCGGCTCACCACAACCCCCACCTCCCAGGTTCAGGTGATTCTCCTGCCTCAGCGTCCCGAGTAGCTGGGATTACAGGCATGCACCACCACACTTGGCTAATTTTTTGTATTTTTAGTAGAGATGGGGTTTCTCCATGTTGGTCACGGTGGTCTCAAAATCCCAACCTCAGATGATCCGCCCACCTCAGCCTCCCAAAGTGCCAGGATTACAGGCCCGAGCCACTGCGTTAGCCTGGCATTTCTGACTCGGAGACATGCATTCCAGCATTCCAGATGATTTTTGTATTGCATAGTCATACAGGGCAGAGCATCCGGAATTTGAAGGCACTCCGCTGAATATACTCATGTGGAAGCTGGGTGCACTTTCCTCATCTTTGAGGACCTCCTGCACCAATTGGAGGACTTGGTTTGTGATGTGGTAGTCTTGAAGTCACTGGCAATGAATATATAACCTGAACCCATACTTTAAGTCCACCAAATGGCCTTTTAAACAGATGCTATGGTGTGGCTAAAACAATATGTAAACAAAAGATATGGAACTTCCTAGGAATTTGGAGAAAATATCCCCAAAGTTCCTGAGACTGATGACAACTCCATTAATTAACCAATCTTGCTGTTGATTTCCTGTGATCAAGTCCTTCTATATGCAGGGACATCCTGAGCATTCTTGTCTTACCGAATCTGTCAACGTGTTAATGCTGAATGTTGGTGAGATTGTGGGAGGCTCGATGCATATCTGGGATAATGAAGAAATGCCTGCAGGTTATAAAAAGGAAGGGATTGACCCTACTCCTTATTAGTGGGATACAGATCAGAGAAAACATGGTCTATGTCATCATGGAGGATATAACTTGGGCCTAGAATGATTTTTAATTTTTTATTTTGCTAATTGTTTTATAACCACAACAAACTAGTACAGAGAATGCCCTGTACAAAACACAAAGGTTCAAACATCAAGGTGTTCCCTTAGCAAGGCTGAAAAATTTCAGTCTCTGGTATTTGGAATTTAGGCTGCAGTCCTTGTTTTCGGATGGATCACTGTGTGTGGCACAAGAGTCCATGCTTTTTTTTTTTTTTTTTTTTAATGAGACAGAGTCTCACTCTGTTGCCTAGGTTGAAGTGAAATGGCCTGATCTTAGCTCAATGAAACCTCTACCTCCCAGGTTCAAGTGATTCTCCTGCCTCAGCCTCCCGAGTAGCTGGGATTACAGGTGTGCACCACCACGCCTGGCTAATTTTTGTATTTTTAGTAGAGATGGGGTTTCACCATGTTGGCCAGGCTGGTCTTGAACTCCTGACCTCAGGTGATCTACCTGCCTCAGCCTCCCAGAGTGCTGGGATTATAGGCGTGAGCCACTGTGCCCGGCCTTTTCAGTCTTCTTTTCACCAGATTTGAACAGAAGACTGGCCACTTGGCCCAGGTAGAAGTAGATGAAGTGTTTGGTTTCATGTGTCACGTAGCTACCGAAGTTCCTCCCCATGATGCAATGCCAGGTAGGATTGTACTTCTTGTCAAATTCCTTCTTGATATGAACTGCAATATCCTTCTCTATGTTGTATTTCTCCAGCGCCTGAGTAGCACACTCCACTGAGTCCTGCTGCATCTCTTCTGACATGTCCCCATTTTTGATTGTGGCCTTTCGGTCGCACATGGTTACTGTGGAGAAGGGGGCTGGCTGACAGCAACAGTCTCCTGGAGGAGGTGCTAGCACTGCTGTAGAATGATTCTTTTTTAAAAATTATGTATGTATTTAAGATAGGGTCTCACTTGGTAGCTCAGGCTGCAGTGCAGTGGCACAATTATAGCTTACCGTAACTTCGAACTCCTCTGCTTGAGATCCTCTTGCTTCAGCCTCCCAAATTGCTGGGATTCCAAGTGTGAACCACTGTGCCCAGCCCTTGGGACAATTCTCTTGGATTCTGAAGTTATCACATTTGAGATGTATGCTTATACCATTAATTTGTGCAGTGCTGCAAGCCATAACTGATTACTCTTGAAGCATGAAAAAAAACAGAATATGGTTCATGAAAGAAACAGGCTGCCTCTTTAAAAATAAACAAAAATGGCTGGGTGCAGTGGTTCAAGCCTGTAATCCTAGCACTTTGGGAGGCTGAGGTGGGGGGGATCACCTGAGGTCAGGAGTTCGAGACCAGCCTACCTAACATGGTGAAACCCTGTCCCTACTAAAAATACAAAAAATTAGCCAAGCGTGGTGGCAGGTGCCTGTAATCCCGGCTACTTGGGAGGCTGAGGCAGGAGAATCACTTGAACCCAGGAGGCAGACGTTGCAGTGACCCGGAAATTGCGTCATGGCACCCCAGCCTGGACAAGAGCAAAACTCCATCTCGAAAAAATAAAATAGCCAGAATTTTCCCTTTCTTGTTCCACTGGGCATAACTTTACTTTTTTTTTTTTTTTNTGTTGGCCAGGCTGGTCTTGAACTCCTGACCTCGTGATCTGCCCACCTTGGCCTCCCAAAGTGCTGGGATTACAGGCGTGAGCCACCATGCCCAGCCTCCATTTTCTCTTTTTTATTCTTTTTGTTTTGTTTGTTTGAGATGGAGTCTCCCTGTGTCACCCAGGCTGGAGTGCAGTGGTGTGATCTTGGCTCACTGCAACCTCTGCCTCCCGGTTCAAGCAATTCCTCTGTCTCAGCCTCCCGAGCAGCTGGGACTACAGGCGCATGCCACTATGCCTGGCTAATTTTTATATTTTTAGTAGAGATTGGGGTTTCACCATTTTGGTCAGGCTGGTCTCGAACCTGCCTCCCAAAGTGCTGGGATTACAGGCGTGAGCCACTGAGCTGGACCTTCTTTTTTGCTAATACCACAAAAAGTAGACCAGGCCAGGTGAGGTGGCTCAAGCCTGTAATCTTAGAATTTTGGGAAGCCGAGGCCAGCAGGTCACTTGAGGTCAGCAGTTCAAGACCAGCCTGACCAACATGGTGAAACCCCATCTCTATTAAAGAAAAAAATTGCAAAAATTAGCCAGGCGTGATGAGGCATGCCTGTAATCCTAGCCACTTGGGAGGTCGAGGGAGAAACTGCTTGAATCTGGGAGGCAGAGGTTGTAGTGAGATTGTGCCACTGCACTCCAGCCTAGGTGACACAGGGAGACTCCATGTTAAAAAACAAAAAGCAAAGTTTTGGGGAAATAGGTGGTACATAACTGTAGTTGTGAATACATTTCAGCATTTTATCTAATAATAGGTCATAATTTTGGGGTTACATATCATACATGTAATTAAACAGTTTTAGATATTGGTTTAATAAAAGGACTCGGGTTATGTATCTATTCCATCAAGTGCTATTCTTTAGCCCATAAAATTGATCTTGGAAGCTCCAGTTTTCTTCTCTGGGCTCCCATAGCACTATATGCGTACCTCCTTTTTTTTTTTAAATAAATAAATTTTAAGCCCAAACCTCACAATCATACCTCTTTTATAGTAGTTACTTGTATTTTTTCAAGGGCCTTAATGTTCCTTAAGTTGATGGTGAAATTTGTTTTATATAAGTAAAAGCTTTTAAGCTTTTAAGCAATGGGCTAAATAGTATGACTTAACTAGTAGCTTTGCCTCTATTTCTTATCTTAGGAAAAATTAAGCTCAAGACAAGTATTACACAATTTTGATGGTTTCATCCAAGTTGCTAATCAACATTTTTAATTTGTAAAGAGTTACCAAGCTAATTTATAGGCAAGTGTTTTATTAGAATTAGATTCGTCAATATCTAAGCATATAATCTATTCCCATAGAAACTGTAGAGGACACTTCTAAAAACTTTTTCCTAATGTACTAGCCAGAGACTTTTTAGTCGTAATTTGGAGAAATGTAATTGAAAGTATCTTCAACGAAGAGTGAGAAAGGCTCCTGAGGGAGCCCAGAGTGCTCAAAGAGGAGAAAAGCTATACCTTGATGGAATCGGGACTGCCAGAGCAGTTTTTCTGTCTCCAGCGTGGATGCTTGGATCAGAAAGATGGGTTCAAATTCTAGCTGTTAAGCCTTAATTTCCTTATCGGTAAGGACACACACACACACACACACACTCTATCTATCTATCTATCTATTTATCTATCATCTATCTAGAAACAGAGTTTCACTCTTGTTGCCCAGGCTGGAGTGCAATGGCACCATCTTGGCTCACTGCATCCTCTGCCTCCTGGGTTCAAATGATTCTCCAGCCTCAGCTTCCTGAGTAGCTGGGATTACAGGTGCGCACCACTATGCCTAGCTAATTTTGTATTTTTAGTAGAGACAGGGTTTCTCCATGTAGTTCAGGCTGGTCTCAAACTCCTGACCTCAGGTGATCTGCCCGCTTTGCAAAAGTCCTGGGAATTCAGTGTTGTATTAAATAAGGCAATACATTTAATAATAGCTCAGATTTCCTAATTCCATGACACTGGACATAATAGTTTTTTTCCTAATTATTGACATAAGCACCTTTAATCCAAAATATTCAGGACATTAGGCTACTAAATGAGTAGAAATCTTAATGTTTAAGAGCAAAGTAAATGAAACAGCTAAAACAGACAATTTTTTTAAATCCCTAAGTCAAATTAATTAGTTACATTCTGAGAACAACCTAGTTCAGAATTTGGCTTGGCAAAGAAGTTGAATCCCGATCCATCCTGTACCAGTGCAATTCAATAGCTATTAAGTGAGCCAGTTATAGAAGACATAATTTCTTCCTTTGAAGAGGCACAGTCTGAGACAAGATAAAATTAAAATGCAATGTGGGCTGGGCGTGGTGGCTCACACCTGTAATCCTAGCACTTTGGGAGGCTAAGGCGGGAGAATAGCTTGAGTTTGAGACCAGACTGCGCAATGTAGTGAGACCTCTTATCTACAAACAATTTTTTATATTAGGCTTGGAGGCGCACATCTGTAGTCCCTGCTACTTCAGGGCTGAGGCAGGAGGATCATTTGAGCCTAGTAGGTCAACACTGCACTGAGCTGTGTTCACACCATTGCATTCCAGCCTGGGCAACAGAACAAGACCTTTGCTCAAAAAACAAAACAAAACAAAATCAAATTGCAATGCGATTTTTTATGCATAGAATATATTAAGCACTACGGAAACACAGATGAAGAAGCAGTTAAATTTGTTTGGTGGAAGAAGAAGTTAAGAAGTGTTAAGGAGAGTTACCAAGAAAACGTGATATTTAAGCCAGGCTGTAAAGGAGTGGGCAATCACCAGACAGAAGAGGGGAGAGAAAAGGACATTTTAGGTAAAGGGAACAATAAGAAATATACACTCAGTGGAACACTTAGGAAGAGATAGAGAGACACTTACGAAGAGACAGAGAATCTAAAGCACCACAAAGAATGCTCCAAAGAAAGGGCTCTTCTGAAAAAAAAAAAAAAAAAAAAAGGCTGATTTTCTGGAATCCATGTGAAAGAAACCAACCTGCCATCTTTTGTTGGTAAAATAATTTAAAAATACAAGAGTGATAAAGAAAATTAGCTTTATTTATGTAATTTAGAAAAACTGATTGTAGTGTTGAGAGTTTGTCAAATGTTGTCACTCTGAACAATTTACAATAGTATTTACATACAAACATACTAAAATAGAGTACATCACATTACTTTTGCTTCAAAGTGTTTTCTCAATTCTGACATGCCCCTAGCACTTCAGTTTGTAGTTTTTAACAGGGAAATGCTCTGTTTTGACATACTGCTTGATTCATACAGTGTAACACTGAATAGAAGAATCAACGACCATGAGCAGGGTTAAAAATATTTTTAACCAATATGATTTTATCATTAATCTTTTTTCTTTTGAGACAGAATCTTGCTCTGTCGCCCAGGCTGGAGTGCAGCAGTGGTGCGATCTTGGCTCACTGCAACCTCGGCCTCCTGTGTTCAAGCGATTCTCTTGCCTCAGCCTCCCAAGTAGCTAGGACTACAGGTGCCCACCACCAATCCGGCTATTTTTGTATTTTTAGTAGAGATGGGGTTTCACAATATTGGCCAGGCTGCTCGTGATTTGCCCACCTCAGCCTCCCAAAGTCCTGGGATTACAGGCATGAGCCACCATGCCTCGCCTCATTAATCTGTTCTCTATAATAAAATATGTTTCATGTTAAAAAAACATACTTGTATTCACTGATAACCTAAATTTGTTGTACTAAGCTTGGCATTTATAGAAACCCATAGTTGATTTAAATACAATATAGATATGAACTTATATTAAAACTCACTGATATGTTTGCCACAAATGAAAATGAACAAAATTGGTTAAACAGAAGTAAAATAAAAATCCATTTGAAAAATAGTGAAGATGACTTATTCTACTTAAGATGAGTAAAACTTCCATTTTCTGAAGCCAATAAAAACTAAACCAAAGGATGGTGAAAAACTGTGATATAGATACCAAATTTTATGTTACACTGTAAAGCTGTAATTTGTAGTATTATATTTATTTATTTAGAGACGCAGTCTTACTCTTGTCACCCAGGCTGGAATGCAGTATCACGATCTCAGCTCACTGCAACCTTCGCCTCTCATGTTCAAACGATTCTCCTGCCCTATATCTGGGATTACAGGAACCTGCTACTATGCCCAGCTAATTTTTATATTTTAGTAGAGATGAGGTTTCAGCATCTTGGCCAAGCTGGTCTTGAACTCCTGACCTCATGATCCAACCGCCTCAGCCTCCCAAAGTGCTGGGGTTATAGGTGTGAGCCACGGCACCCAGCCAAAGCAGAATTTTAAATCAGCAATTGGGATACGATATTAGTGCAGATCATTTACGCTAGAGCCATATTTTTATCTATCACAGTATTAAGTATGCCACATGTGTATGGACTATTAGAAGAAATCCATTTCATTTTTACAGCAGTGAATTGGTAACTTAAGTTCTTTAGCACTTTCTTAAAATTCCTGATAAGATAGCTCCATTGTCTTTTTAAATGAAAAAAAAAAACAAAAAAACAAAAAAACAAAAAAACACAACCCCCCTCCCCAGCACAAAAAAATGTTAAGTATGCTGTTACTTTGAAAAGTTACAGCTATTTAAGGTAAAACAATCAACTAGACCTCCAAGAGCACTGTGTCTAACATGTCACTTTTGT